GTCGTCATTGTTTTGCAAGTTCGAACGTTAGTTCGTGGTTGCCTGCAGCTCGTGCGATTCCACGCTGTCGTATCAGCTCGAGTGTTTCTGGAGACATGCGTCTCTTGGTGACTTTCGAACTCTCAGCTTTTATAGCGCTAACGTGAAGATGTTGAATGAGCCGATCGTATTCTTCGTCGATGCTATCGAAAACGGCATCTTCCCAACAGACCACTAAATGAATTGAATAAGTTTCAGTTTACGGTGGTTTTGGGACTTTTGAATTTAACGGCTTTTTATCCTTTCCACGAGAAATAGAAGCTTGAACGGAGGAGGAGATGGTCGGATCCCGTTGTAGAATTTTGGGACAATAGCGACTTGGGTTAGGCAAAACCTTCTATTTACTATGATGTGATCTATTTCGTTATGGTACTCTCCATTGGGAGCCTCCCACGTCCAGCACTGAGGGTGGGGCATCTGGAACTATTCGTTCCATTCTAATCCGTGGTTCCCAATGTGACGTTCTTCTTGGTCCAATCTTGGCGTTAAAATCTCCAATGATGACCTTGAAGAATGTGTGGTCTTCTCTGTAGAACTTCTCCAAGTCGATATAGAACGTTTCGACTTCTTCTTCGTTATACCTTGATGTCGGCGCGTAAACGGCGAAGATTGTCAAAGCCGGAATTGATCCACATCTTTTTAATCGTAAACATCTGATTCGAGTTGTAAGTTGTTTGAATGAATCGATGTTCATGGACAAGCTCGTGTTGACGAGAACGCCGACGCCGCCGACTCTACTCGGGCATGTTCCGAGGAGCAGTTCTTCGGTGTCACAGACGGCGTTGAAAGGTTGGCGTCTTCTCGTCTTTGCCAGGCCGATGACATCATACCCTATTCTTCTTGCTTGCATGAGCAAGTTTTCTATTCAGGACTCGGGTGCAAATGTACTTGCATTGTAGGTACAGATCGTCACCATAGTTCTTTGAAATCCAGGCAGATTTCATTGGCGCTGAGATTTTAGCAGCTTCTCCGTACTCGTCGTATCCAACGCTGCGAAATTGGAGGCTTTTTCGGGGTCAGGGGAATAAGGCCCGTTTTTTTTTACTGTTTAGCATTTTTGATACCCACGTATAGCTTTCTGGGCCCTAAACGTGGGCGCTGGGTATATTCACGGGTAGCTTGCCAGGTTCTCCCAGTGTGATATGGAGCTTATTTCTTGGAGTCGACTCCTAACCCCCTCCCCCCATTATACTTCCCAGTCATTTGATTGCAGGCTTTTGGCCGAATTAACTCGTAGAATACAAGTCGCATAAGCAAGAACGCACCCACACACGCATGCATGAATACGCCTACCAAATACAGAAAGTATGTGCCAAATCAGCGCAGCAGAAACAGGGAGTCCATCCCCTGGATCCACCTGCGTCTCAGGGAAGCAAAAGTCGCTTTTGGTCCGTGATTAACCCCCTATCCGCCACCTGGGGACGCCCCACGTAGCCTCGTAGTCTGCTCGAGATCCCTCATATGAGGGAGATCTCTGGTTTTTTTTGAAACCATCCGTTATTTCGCGTCTTTTCTCTGCCCTTCCTAATTATGAGTCCTAACAGTTCATTTCCAGAAAATGTCATTTTTGTGTGTGGCCTCGATACATTATTTTAAACGTGGCGACCTTTTTTTTTTTAATACTTCCGGTTTTTTTTTCTATTAATTTTCACCGTACATTGGTGAATGACATTAGCAAAGCTTTGTTTATTTTACTACTTCTATAGTCATCTTTGTTATGGCTAGGTTTTTTACGTTCTTGGTTCGGCCCTTCATTTAGCGTTTTTGGATTCTTGTCATTCTCTCTAAAGTCATCATTCTGTTATCTTTTCTAACTGTATCTGCCTATTACTATTTTCATTCATACTGTGCAACGGATCTATTTATTTTGGATAACACTAACATTAAAAGTCGACTCTACATTGTTAAAGGATAAAAAGATCTCGGCGTTGATCAGTTTCTGAGGGATGCGCCATGCATTCGACTTCATTAAGCATCGTGCGGAGGTGATTGAATGCATATCTGGCCTTTACAATGACTTGCGGTGGCCTACCGATGTATCGAGCTAGTGCTGCTATCCTCTTAGACAAGTTTGGTACCAATTTGCCGACTCCAGAGGGATGGAAGGATTGGTGAGCCACGGGCGCGGGATCGATCCCCATGTGTGTTGCAGGGCGCCTCCGATCACTGCGCCACGGCCGCCCCACTACATTGTTACGGTGTCAAGACGGTCTTAGTTGTCATGTCGTAGATCTCAAAACTGGCAAAGTGTTTCATCGTTTATGCGTGAAGTTACAGGTAATACAATGAGTTCAATAGTACATCATCATATAGCGGTGATCGATTACGCACCGTGAAAGATTGAACTAGTCTGGAGACGTTTTACGACCTGACAACTGTTTTTTTTAATTACAGTGTTGGTTTTATACCTCTTACAATACAGTTGTTTCTCGAAGATGGCAAAGCGGCGAAATTCTCCACGAAAGAAGGGAGCGTTTTATGATGATGAGGCATTCGTGATGTAATAATGCCAAGGGCGTGGCCGGTACAATGGATTGCGGTTAATCAAACCGATTTTCAAAGACCCACCTGACTAATTTACCTGTTTCTTAACATTGTATCTTTTCAAGTGAGTTTCATAGTTATTTCTTTTATACCATGGGGAATTTAGGACATAAAGCCGATTGGAAGCGTGTTAACCAAATTTGTTTAGTTCATAGTAAAGTAGTTAAGTAGTTAGTATTTAATAGGACAGTGTGTGCAATGTTAGGCAACCATTAATGTCTTGATTTTTTTTTAGCTAAGAATAGGTAAACTTTAAAGTTATAAACTTGCACGCCTATGAAGTGTCTACGAAAGAGTACGCTCAAAGTTGTCTTAGTTTCCCATCGGTGTGTAGTAATGCCTTGAGTTGATAAAATGTATGGCAATTACATAAATATATAAACCCCTCACTTATGAATTTTCTATCACAGAGGCATCGTTGCCATCCATGTCTTCGTATTGACCTATTAAGTAATGAAGTAACTAAATTGGCTCCAATCGAGACCATTTAGGGTTCAAGTTTCCAAGGTGTGACTGAGTGAATTCGATCTTCACCATTCGTTTTTTTCACCTTGGCATAATAGTCAATAATTTTTATAGCATATTTCATATAATGAGGGTTTGCCCTTGAGTGGTTTATAATGTGTGGGATGGCCTAGTACTGACATATGCGCTTTGGAGTGTGTCAGATTTCAATTCCTTCCAAGTGTTTCGTTTTTGCTAATCTTTCTCTTTGATGCAAATTTGTTCACGTTCCTGGAAGAAAGAAGTGGTGCTTCATATTCTAATTCTTAGTGATATTTCTTTGTCTTTGTTTTTTTAAAGGTTTTTAAGGTAGACGGTTGGGAATTCAGTGTCTTGTTATCGTTAGTGTTCAGTGTTGAATTGAATTCTAAGCCACTTATAATGAAATAGATTAGAGCACTGCTTTGAAGTGAACATCCTCACCACATGATTTCCAGTGATCTACGAGTGTTTGTTTAATGGAGCAGGTCGTGTTTAACTGTGTTGTTAGCCGATAATCCATTCCGCTACATCTACGGTCCCGTCGTCGACGGGTCAAACTCGCCCCTCTTTCTGTGACTTCTCAATCATAGGCGTCGTATATCATTCTCAGTTCAGGAATTTGTGATAGTAAACCAAATAACACTATAAATAAAGGATAAAACATTCGAGGTTCATCGATTGTTGAGGAATGCGCCATGCATTCGACTCCCATTAGAGTTGATTAAATGCATATTCGGCCTTTGTAATGCCTTGCAGGAGTCCGTCGATCTATCAAGCCAATATTTTTGCATTCCCATGCAAAACCGGTATTAATTTCCGATCACGGAGGGATGGAAGGATTGATTAGCCTAGTACGCATGATCGAGCCAACGTCTAGGTGTTTTATTGCAGGACACCTCTAAGCACTGAGCCACGATCCGCCCTTACTTTCAATACTTGTGTACTTTTACACGCCGAGTTGTTATCACATTCTATTGAGCGGTTTTTCCATAGTTGCGATGACAACAATAAAAGTATTATTACTTTCCTTTCTTTGTTAACGTTCCTGTTTTTTGTCTGTGAGTATGCTATATTGTTCAAGTCATATTGCCCGCACACAGAGCGACAATTAACATATCCACAATAAAACTTGGAAGCGATCAATTGAAGCCTTAGTTAAGAGATTTTTTAAACAATTGTTTGGTGGAATTTTTATTTGTTTCTAGAATTAATTATATGGTGTTCTTCGCTTCCTGTTTACTTGCTCACTTCATCCGATTTCTGTTAGAAACACATTTTTCGATCTACCTTTTCTATGTGGGAATTTTCCTGGATTTATTTATTACTATGGATTAAGTTTTTGTTGGTTAAAAACTTAAGGAAACCTTGTTTTTTCTCTTGAATAACTTTTGTGGCCTTCTAACTGTGCTGGAAGAAACCTAGTCGCAGTGCTATGGTAAACGTTCCTGTAATCCACATAGGCCGACAATTGCCTATAATTACGAACAAGAGTTTTGGTACGGGTCTCCCAGACATTGTGGGAAAAGGTTGCCTAGTTTCAATCATTGCAGCTAAGTGAGAAATATGTTTTGCATTAACTTCTAGATTTACCTCATCGGCTAACTCATTACCCTTTACGTTTGGCTCTCTCGCTAAACATCGAGGAAAGCTGCGAATTTCTTTTCACCATTTACAATTTGCTTCGTCGGATACGAAGCAAGTTGTAAATGGTGAAAAGAGGTTCGCAGCTTTTCTCGATGTCTCACATTTCAAACCGGAACAGCTAAAGCTGCTTGTAGAGGAAAATAGGTGAGAAATATCTTGGGTAGCACGAGGGTCCTCATTCTTTATGAAGGCAAAGTACTCAGTATTTAAATTAAGCATAAACTTCACTCTTGGATTTGATATTAGCACTTAACAGACCATGAATAAGAAGCGAGAGTCTTTCTAACCCGCTTATCTTTACAATATTTCTTCTTAAGCAGCGCATGTTTTGACATCTTTAAAAGAATTAGAGCAGATCGCAAAGATTAGTTAGTTCCCTTGTATACTGCCTGAACAAGTGATAAATTAGTTCGAAATTTTTCGAGCCATTATTGCTCAAGCTTCACCACTAGAACAGCTGAAAAATTCCCCTATTCCTCTCCCCCTCCCCCCTCTCTCCCTCTCTCCCTCTATCCTCTTTTTTCTGTCTATTTCTCTCAATCATTCTCTTTTCGATTTCCTACATGAATTACTAAGGAGTGTTTCTAAAAACATTGTGTTTTCATGCATGGAATTGCGTATAAGCTATTCCTTTCTTGTAAGGTAAGCCAGAATGGAGGAGGCAAAGAACATGGCGTTGCTGTTCTTCATGGATCATCTGATGCAGAAGAATGGCCGACGAACAATTCACGATTTGAGTTGCCAATTCGGAGCACGTGGGTAAGTGCTTCTATCCTCGTTTGAATATTATAAGAAGCTTTGGATACAATATTTGCAGCACGTAGTAAAAACAAAGTCCGATAAGCCGTATTGATTTCAAGGCAATGATGTCGGCAAGAATTGTGTAATAGAGGAATTGGATGAGATCTCTTGCGTGTAATTCTCATTTCATGTGAACGAATTCGTTTGTCTTTAACTTGTCCTTCCCATAAGAAAACGTTGAAAAAAGTAGAGGAGAGTATCACTTTAAACTTTTACATCAATGCTTTCAAACCGTTTCTATACTTGCCAATAAGGATGGATCAACTTTCTATAAACCTCGGCAAAATAATCGGCAAATCTATATATATGTTCTTAGGAACAACTCTTAGCTGACGTGAGGTTGGTATTGTTTTGGGAATATTGGGATTACAACCACAACGTTGCTGAGATATTTGCAAAACTCTGGACCGCAGGTGTCTATGGTGGGGAACGAACGCGCTATTATCCTTTCCGGGGAGTAACGCGTTCACCACCACACCATGCGGGTCCTTTGTTTCGCACGTCTCTCAGCTATTTCTATCGATCTTTTTGCCACA